GCAATATAGGCCGTAAGAGAGAAAGAAGAAAGAAGTACACTATCCGGGGAAAGTGTAAGAGGATTATTAGGTATTACAACGGTTATTGAAGGAGTGGTAAAGGTTAAAAAATCGGGGGAACGGGACACGTAAAAACTCCGGTTGAAGGCGAAATAGAAAGCAGAAAACGGTAAAAGACGCAGCCGTGAAAACCGATGCAAATGCGGACGTAAAGAGCTGAAGAAAAAAAAAGTAAAAGTAAAAGCCAATCAAAAGTCCGTGATCCATGAATAGAAAGTGCTGAAAATGCTAAAAGCAATAGTGGAATTGGAGAGGATTTTCGGAAGAAGGTCTTCAACCTTCCTCATTCTCCTCTTGGGTCTTCCGAATTCGACCATAGTGAATATAGGCTAGATAGCGGTTACGAGAAGTTGCGTGGAGATCCACCTGGGGATCCATATCGTCGGCTTCGTCGCTTCTCCTTCCTCTCTACGACCGGCATTTGAAGAAGTGCCTGGTCGTCCTTCCACTCGGCGATAACTTCAATGAGAACCTTCTCGCACCATTTAGCAACGGCTTGCTCGAAGCTACGCATGCCCTCTTCGGTACCGTTAACGGCTCCCATAACATCCATGCTAATCTTAACTTCCCATCGGAGATCAGCAGCCTTGAGCCAGTATCGCAGATTCTCTGCAAGACGGTATGGCTTGTTGAAATCAGTATGGAAATGAGGGATCTGGCCAAATGGGGTACGAGACCGGCGGACAATTGCGTTGTGAATGTTGATGAGACGGTCACCAGTACGAAGAATCTTGAGAAGGGGAGATTCGGAGGCTGGCCCTTTGGTGTTGTGCCCAGGAAGAGGAGTAGAGGAATTACCCTCGTAGGCGTCGAAGTACCTGAGGAAAAGTTGATATCGCTCTATAAAAAATAAAAATGTTAGCATTCTGTGGGAAAAGCCCCTTGTTGGGAATTCTTGTGTACATACCCCATTCCTTGCCCTTCCAGTCTCCTTCAGCCCAGACCTGACCGTTTCGGCGCCCCTCATCCTCCATGCGGAGTTCCTTGTCAAGGAGGCCTTCAACGCTGTCGATCCAGGAAACGACCACAGCTTTCTCTTCGGCAAGAACAGATCCCTGTCTTGTGCTGATTCTCTTCAAAAGATCCAATACAGTCATGAAATCCTCACGCATTTGCTTTTCCGATGTGATCTTCTGAAGTCTCGACATATCTGCGGCATAGTAATATTCCTTTGCGGCTCTGATAGCGAGTGTTGTGCTTCGGAGAATGGAGTGAAGAAGAATATCCTTAAGGCCGGGGATTGGTCCCTCATCCTTGTCACGGCCGATACCTTCATCCTCATCTGCCTGCGGTTTGATTCCGAGACCTGAACCCTCCTTTTCAAACCCAAGATTCGCAGCATCAACCCAGACTCGTCTACAGTCGTCGAGAGCCTCCTTCAAGTCTTCCTTGAGGGATTCTTTGTCTGGTGGTGGTGGGACAACATGGACATTCTTTGGCTTGTATGTGGAGTAAGTTGGGGGAAGAATTGCATTCGGGTCCTCATCGACATCATCGTTACCAATAGGAGACTTGGAGTAGTGCTCCGCAGGAAGAACGAGGTCAGGAGATGATCTTAGGGAAGAGTAAGTGCTATCGATGAGTTGGTTGTCCATGACCAACTCATCATTCGCATTGAACTCTTCGGCCTTCTTCTTCTTGTAGCCACTATATTGGTAAGAAAGATTAGTATTATAAATTAAGGAAGACAAAGAAGAACAAGAAGAATACACACCCTCCCTTTCCGTCTAACAGTCCAGTCTTTGCAAAGAAGTATTGAACATGAGCGATGCTTCCAAGAGCCATAACGCTCTCCCTTGACCTCGCAGACTTGGAGAACTCGGTACCCTGAGGCCGTACGAAACCCCGCTTCCGTGCTTGAGGTGAAGTAAACGTCAAGCTAGGAGTTCTCTTTCCGGCTGTCGAGGAACGAGAAAGAGTCTTTGGCGAAGTCTGTGGCGACTCACTGGGCGAACCCTCAGTATCACCAGGAAGAGGAGAATGCGGGGGCGAGATGAAAGGCTTGGTGATAGTTGCCCGCCTTCCAGATGTAGTTGTAGGTTGTGCCTGTGCCATTGTTGGATTTTGAGCTGCCAGTTGAATGTCGGCAAAACTATGACTAGTGTCGATGATGAGAGTTGGAGTATTCATTTTCTTTAGCTTCGTGGGACTGTCGCCTTTATAACTTGAGCTAAGAATTCCGTTTTAGAGAGAGCGGCGTTGGTGGTTGATTTTGTTTGGAATTGAAGGTTGCGAGAGTCTGCGGAATCAATTGGTGATCCTCGCCTTTTCTTTTTCCCCGTTCTCTTAATTCTTTTTTCCTCGTTTCAGGTTCCGGTATTTTTTTTCTTTACTATTTTCAGAATCTTTTGGTTTTTTGAAAAGATGATACTAGGACCGAAACTGACTAGTGTCTGAACTGGGAGTCAGGTCCCTTTAGCAAAGAGAATTAATGCAGCTGGCTGGGTGGCAGATGGCTATTCGACGAAGGCGTCTTGTTAGCTCTGTTTCTTTTCCCAGGACCCCGGTGTGAGCTTCGTGCATGCAGAGCAAAGGGCCTGTTTGCTGAAGCAGGAATCGATAACAGGATAGAGCTTGGGTAGCCGGGATATGCTTGAACCCAGGAGATGTCGTTCGGAGTTTTTTTTTTTTTTTTTTTTTTTTCTTGTTCAATCTTTTTTAATTTATTTTTGTTCCCTTTCGAGGGTTTGTTTCCTCTTGTCTGTCTCGTCTATCTATAACGACGAGATAGTTCAAGGGCCTACTGCAAGCGAACCGTTATTGAATTGAGTCGGGTTTCCCACTGTCGGCTCGCAGGGCCTTGTCTAGAACAAAGATTCAAAGGCAACCAAAAGAGGAGTCCTAATGTTCTCGGTATCTCGATCTCTGCCAGACACCGACGGGACCTTTGTCTTGGGGTGTGGACCGGACTGTGAGAGAGAGAGATATGCTATATAGTTTGGTTATAGACCGGTATGAATCCTGATAATTGGTTCAGATTGGTTACCAGACTTCTTTGTGTCTCGCACGACCTGCTTGCTTCCTGCAGTGCACCGCTCTGCTCTGGACAATGGACCAAAAGAAGGGGTGAACAGAATAACGAGGTGTAAAAAGTACTTAGTATAGAGGGAGAGACACGGGATAATGGGTGAAGGGTCACGCCAGGATCGATTGGGACAGCGCAGGCGAGTCGAGCGTGAAGAGAGGTTGCAGCACAGATGGGTGTGTGTGTGTGCGTGAATGGGGGATCAAGTCTGTATCGGAGACCCGTATGTATGTGAGCCTACACAGTAAGGCTGTGCTACCAGGGTATCGCAGTGACGCAGTTATGCAGCGTGGTGAAAACCCTCCGTTGAGGCGCGGAACGGTGGGACAATCTGGTGATGGTTGAACTGGACTGCAGGCCGGGTGTCTGTTTTTGTCAGTCGATGGATACTTAAATAGTCAAGTAGCCAGAATGGGATGTTCCCGGGGACTGTCTGGATGTCGCGGGGAGGCGGTTGAATGAACAAGACCGGACGGATGAGGAGGGAAAACTAGACGTCTATATACGGGACGTATAGTGCACGGGATGTTTGGATGTATGTAGGAGAGGAGTGTGGAGAGGAGTGAAGTGGAGAGAGGCCGGAAAGGGGAGGGAAGAAGGGAGGTCGAGGTTGAAGTTGAAGTTGAAGTCGAGGTTGAAGATATAATATTAATATTCCAACCTAAGGACTTAATCATACATATGAACGGCCACAGTATTCAATCATCAGTCAGTCAGTCATCAACTTCCACATTCCCACATTCCCACTTCCATTATTTCCATCAGGCAGTCGGCCTCCGAGCTGGTCAGTCATCCACGTCCTGTCCTGTCCTGGCCACCCTTAGCCTTAGTCAGTCGAAGGGACTGATTGCTGCTTGCCAAAAATTGCAAGGGCCCCGGTCCATCAAAACAATCTTCCTGAACCTGCAAGTCAGTCCACGCGATGCCCCTTTCAGCCGGCGGCATATGCACCGCTCTCAAGAAGGGCAAGTCTGGCCTCGGTCTCGTCCATTCACGTTCACGGTTGCTATAATACACCATAGTACTGGATATATCGATATCTTCAATTGTGTTCACACGCACAACTTCGAACTTCATCGATCGATATCACGATCGAGGCGGGGAAAAAAAGAGCGCCTGCTGGGAAAGAACCCGAACTTTCCACTAGTATCAGAGGGCAAATCATATCCGTCCGAAGAAACCGTTGGGGTTGCAAAAAACCATCTTAAGATTGCAGGAAGCAGGGGAAATTAAGTGCGCACTTGTTTTCCAGTCAATACAAACAAGACCCCCTCTCTCTTCTCAAACAAATCAGGAGAGGAAGGAAAAGAAAAGGGAGAGGATGTGCGAGGGCCCCGTCGGTCCAATCCAATCCAAAAGAAACGAAAGAAATCGCCCAGCGGTCGAGGATCGCAGGTCCGAATGCCAAATACCTCATTCTGCAAAGTGCACGTCGTCATTGCCGTCGAATCCATACCCTTGTGTCGCCGCGCCTTCCGTCTGGTTGGGACCCGTCGTGTGTGAGCGTGCATGTATGTATGTCCATAGCACACTATGTGCGTGGACTGCGTACCTGACGGGCTGATTATTGTTCCACAAAGCCCCATGTGCGCAGTTAATATGTTTCTAAACATACCCGATATTCGAATACTCATCCTTCTCGAAATCCATAGAATATGGGTAACAATACTACAATACCACACCCCGTGGGCTTATTAGAACAGGGTGTCCTTTTCGCCCTCCCTTGGTTGGGTATTTCATCTCTTTCGAAGTTATTTGTCACAGAATATCATGAATCGCCCAAAGGTGCACCAGAGTATCAAAATAGATATCGCCATCCGGCCTAATGCAACCAACCATACATCCGTACAACCTCATGGTTCCAGCGCCAAGGAACCGCACCATCATGACTTGTCGCAGTCCCCACTCAAGCTCTAACGATTACCAAGCCATCAACGTTAACTAACAAGTCCGCGTCCTCACAGAATTATTGTTGGCTTTTTTTTTTTACATCCAACAGAAAGGAAAAAAAGTGGTGTCGTTCTGTCCTGTTGTTTGATATGATACTCATGCAATACATACACGTATCGCGAACCTTTCGAAGCAAAGAAAATGCAGGGCGTGAAATTTTCTAGAAACAGTTGTCGAAAAGCGGATCTCTCGGCGTCTCGCAAAGTTTTGGCCACCGAACCGGTCCCCGAAGGCCCTGACCCATCGAATTGGTATTGGGAAGGGGGCCAAATAACGGGCCCGGGAATCCCGAGAAAAGGGGAACCCTGACCAATTCCAACAGGTACAAAATATCTGAACCCCGTGATTTCCGAACCCAAAAGTCGCAATCCTCATTCCTCACACCATAAATATATAAAAAAAAGGCCAAGACCGAGGCTTTTCGCGATATCTCCGTGATTATAAGCAAAAGGATGAGCTTCAATTTCAGTTTCTGGAATAGTGAGCTGAAGCTCATCGCCTCGATCCCATCTTGACCTCGAATTTGGGGGCCCATAGCAACCAAACCAACCTGGATCAACGAAGCGCAGACAGCAGCCTAATAGAGGCCCGCACCACGCTCCACACTCCACATTCCAACATGATACATATTGGCTTCTGAAGAACCGGAAAACAAGACTCCATTGAGTCTCTAACTTCATCAGCTTAACCTACAAAAAGACGACTCTGCTAATCCCTTCCAAGGCGCTTAAAGTGAATTTTGTAAGGTTACTTCTCGATAGCTCTAACCGCCATTTTTGTCACTTGCATCAAAAACCCGCCTCCGGGCGGGACAACCCTCCCTTACCCTTCCTCACGAACCCGGACATTCGAGACGCGAGCGTTATTCGCACCTACACAGTTAACTTTTATAAGCTCCTCGCCTTTCTGCGTCGGGGCAATAAATGTTAAAGCGGACCCCCCGCGCGATTTAAAAAAGCAGAATGGCTGGCTGGTTGGCTGGCTGGCTGTCGATTTGACTGGCTTGTGCCAAAAAAAAAGTAGTCGAGACATTTGAATCGGATCGCGTACCCGCGTGGAAGCTTAAACCTCTTTGGCATAATAGTCCAGGTCGATCTGTAGTCCCATCGAACGGTTCCGCCCCATTCCATTGCCCTCGAGGACCTGGATTCGAGGCTACCCCCCAATCCCATCGGTTCAGTAAATTGAGAAGAAAAGAATCATATAATATAATAAAGTAATCTTAGCCGCATCAGAGCTGTTGTTCCGAGAAAACTAATCCCCCGGCCTTCCCCTTCCCGATTGAACCTGCATATAGGGCGCCTGGATTCGAACCTAGAATGAAGTACCCCTTAGCTTCAATCGAAACAAATCGGCGTCGACTTGGAAGAGAAAAAGAGCTATACTTAGCTATTGTGTACATACATGCACCACCCACCAGCGCATAATAAACTCTACGAAATCCATGGATTTAATGTCGGGATCTCTAATCTCGCATGCATAGTAAATTAGCAAAAATATGCTAGTTGATCAGGTCAGTTTAAAGGTATCATGGGCAGGCTTCTGTGTCAAAATGTGTTCTCCGTTTAGCGGAGGATGTTTCCATCACAATTAATGCAACAAATGAACCATAGCTCAGAAAGGAGCTTGAGAGAGACAGAGCAAGAGAAATGAAGTCTAAGAGATAGCTATAATAAACAACTTCGCCCCGGACTTGAAATATCGAAAGAGTAAGTCGAAGATTTAGGAAAAACATCCCCCATCTATAGCGCCAGCTGTACTTTTTCTAAATCTATGGTCGTAATACTACTATACACTATTCTTACAACTAGCTATTCAATACATTTGATGCCGACTGGCCTGAATATAAAGTGAAACATCCAGAACGTTACGTGACACAAAACTTCGCCTTCAAATCCTAAAGTATCGAATTCTACGGTGACACATCGTATTTCATCTGGATTCCCATGGCCAGAAGCTCAACGTCCAAGTATCTAAGCCACAGTTAGCACACTTCTCGACTATATCGATTGAATCCCGTAGGAAATAGAAATACTCACTTCAAAACATAAGGAATAACAACCACTGTAGTATCCTCACCACCAATAAACCTATTTCCCAGGCCATCCTCCCAGTACCCCTTCTTTCCGATATCAAACTCCGTCGCTTTGTTGGCACACCTCCTACACCTAACCTCTGCCCTCCGCTCTCCTGCCGCCGTCGGTGTCGTGCTCAAAAAGCTACCACATCCCCTACAAACCCACGTCTGATGGTAATCACTACAGTTCAACAGTCGATCCTGGACCAAAAATGCAGTTCCGTGGGCAAGCAAAGAATCTCTCTCCATCTCTCCGATTCTCAAACCACCCATCCTCTTCCTACCTTTCACAGGTTGCCTGGTCCTCGAGTCTACAGGACCTGTACTTCTCACCTGATACTTGTCGTTGACCATGTGCCTCAATCTCTGGTAATATACAACTCCCAAATAAATATCCGCATGAAACTCTTGTCCCGTAATGCCACTGTACATCGGTTCGTTCCCGTAGTAATTGTACCCAGCCGACTTGAGTTGCTCGCCAAAGTAATCAAACGCCGTATGTTGTTCTCCAAACTTAAACGGTGTCGAGTCTTGTGCAAATCCATGTAGCGTACCGGCTTTTCCCGCCATACTCTCTACAAACATACCGATTGTCATACGAGATGGGAAGGCGTGAGGGTTGATAATGACATCCGGCTGGATCCCGGACTCCGAGAAGGGCATGTCCACCGCTGGCCATTTCTGCGAACAAACACCTTTCTGTCCGTGACGGGACGAGAACTTGTCACCGATGAGTGGTGATCTGGTAATTCGGAATTTGACGCTGATCGCCTGGCAAATGCTATCTCCGACATCGTTCCCAAGTAACCTGACTTCTTCAATATAGGCATCTTCAGATCCCTTATACTTGAAGAAAAAGGTTTCTCCGGTACCCATGTTGTGATACACGGCTACCGGTTGTCCTTCTACTATTTTTTGCCCGACCATCGGGAGACCGTCCATATCGTCCAATGTCTCGCTATACTTGTCCTTCATAGCTTTGTATTTCGCCAATGCAGCTGCATCGGCGCCAATAGCAGCCCATCCCCATCCGAACGCCAATACCGGGCTCTTTGACTTTGACTTCTCGGCTAAGTCGTACTTTTCGGTCTTATACACAGTTCCATATCCGAAACCTCGTTCGTGTGCAGATTTGTTGATAATCATAGCGTCGTCCATGTCGTAGCCAGTGTACGCAATGACAGCCACCACAGCATTCATGCCGTTGGGGAAATTGTCGAGGCCATAAGTGTTATATAGAGGAGCGCGAACAACAGGAGACTGACCCGTCTGGAGTCTGTACATCTTGTTATCCGTTCTATGTCGTATCGCTGTCCCAGGTGTACCCATAGTTTGTTTACCCATCTGACACTGGTACATGTTTCTAGGACTCTGGTTGAAGTCTGAGAAGGGTGTCATGTTCGCCACGATGGACAAGATATTTGTGGGATCGAATTCGACGTGAGAGTCGCCGGATTTGATTTCTGGATCTGTCACTGCGATGTTGAGGAAAGGCTGTTCGAAAGGACCAACGAAATCCTCCTTGTCGAGTGGAAGATATTTTACAGGACGGATCATTCGGGCCTCTTGCGAGAAGAGATAAACGCCAGGGTATTGACCTCCATTGGAGGTAGGGACATATCCAATTTCGAGGTCGAGGGGGACATTATGTGTGCCAGAAACTTTGTAAAAGCGAAGAGATTCTGCAACCCGACGAGCATCTCGTGGTGAACACCACCCAAGGATCCTGCCGTCCAGCTGAACGGAGAGCGTAGCATCAGTAGGGACCGGTAGGACCTTTGCAGAGTGAACTCCTAGTGTTAGGACCAAAGGTCCAACCTGAGAGGTGTCTGAAGTTATGGTGGCAATCCGGCACTTATGTGCCAAATGATTTAAAAGACCACAGGGAGAACCATCGGGCGTGTGGACGGGGCATAGGAAACCTATTTATAGTTAGCATATGAGTTCCGTAAGTTCAGTGTCATAGGTCAAGAGGCTTACCCCAACTTTCCGGTAGCAACTTTCTGACCGTCGTAGTCTTAAGTTGTGCGAAGAAACTACCTCTATGTACCATTCTGAAATGACTGATGTATCGATAAAAGTTCAACTTCTCAGCCACAACCGTGAAACCTGTTGTTTGTTGTAGATCTAGACCACTAGGACTTGACAAGTTTCCCGTACTTAGGAAGTAATGCAGTGACTCTCCTATCCTCTCATTGACCTTTCCCAGCATCTTGCGAATATACTGTGGCGAACCGAATTCGACTTTGGCTCCTCCCATTAGGTCCGAGCGCACTTGTGATCTGATATTTAGCAGATATTCTTCGAATTTCTCCTTCAAGATCTGCCCGTAGAGGAACCCGCCGAGGAGAACCTCATGATGTTGTGCCGCGTCGACGTTGTCGGCTGCACACGTTCCTGCAACCAACGAGTATAGCTTCTTTATCATGAATAGGAGCTGTCTCTGCTTGTCTCCGTCGTCGTTCAGGTAGACTAGTACAATCCTCTTCAAAAACAATTTTCCAACTTCTACATCTGATACATCGGGGCTAACTTGCATCACTATCCGGAACTTGTCACCCAAGTACGCTAGTGTCTCGTGCCGCGAGTAGAGGTTGTATGCCTTGTATGTCCGGAGTAGCAACTCAACACGATCCGTAAGGAACGTATCCTCTCTCTGATCCAGTCCAACAATTCCTTCGTATATTTCTCGATCATTGGTATCAACTAGCGCCTTGAGTATCATCATGACGGGGACAAGGTACTCCCTCTTTCTCCACGAAAACCTGAATGTGATGTTTCCGTCGCTCAGATAGTGTATGACGTTCGTCATACAACTCTGGTCAGGTCGCACACATCTGATTTGCACACCCATGTTCGTATAAGAAGGTCCACGTTTCGCATACGATGATCTGATAACTGCCATGGCGTAGTTTCTTCTATTGACGATGAGCATACGAACAAGCTTCTCGTTCCCGCTAACGATGAAGTAGCCGCCGATTTCTTCGGACTCTTCTTTATGGTCGACAAGAGATCTGGGAGACATAGATTCGAGATGGCAACGGTTACCCATGACCATGAGTGGGAGGAGACCACAGTCTCGGTACTCCTTCTGCCAATCGCCGTTGTTGACTTTGTACTGAAGTTCGAGTTGGAGTTGGCCGCGATAGGACGAATGACGTTCTCTGCACTATTTATAAATCATACTTAGTACTACGAGGTTTCAAAACATCTGTAATTTAAGATATAAGTGTGTACCTCAGCTGGGTATATCTCTCGCTTCATCGCCGTCTTGTCCCTAGAGCTTAACATCGACTTGCCCAGGTAGTAGTTTGCAATTCGCACTGTAATCTAGTCAGTCACACATTCTCTCATGAATGAGAACTAGTGCTCCATCCCCAGCATACCTGTTAGCTTATTCCCGTAGCCAGTCTCAGCATTCCCATCCAATCGGTCGAACACCGTCCTCTCGCCGATGTCTGCAATCGCCTGGTGCAGGCATCCTCCCTCTCTAAACACTGCATTCCACGAATCAACATGTGGTCGTACAGCTTCATTCAATGCTGGAAAGGCTGTCTTATCAGCAGGTGGATTGCGAAATCTTTTTTCGCGGGCGATGGTATCGAAGACGGCCTGCCCAGCCGACGAGCGGGAGACAACTGATTTTTTCGTCGACGGCATTGTGATTTATATTATGTGCAACAAAGTGAAAAAGGTAAAGAAGCCGTCGAAGCGATTGTAATTTCTACAGACTTACAGGCATCGGGCGCCTGTCTGCTGTGGTGAAAAGTCGTCAATGGAGGGCACTCGTGAAAAAGAATGGAAGGGGATTTGAAGGTTCCAAAATTTTTTGCCGGGGTGGCAGCTGCAAAGTCCATCGAAGTGCGGCTGCCAAGCCTTTTTTCCTTTCCCAAAATAACGTGCCTTTTGCTTGTGAGCGATAATTACCATTTTGATTCCGACGACGACGAACATTCAAGGACTTCATCCGACACAACCTACATCATGGCTGCGAGGCTGCCTTTGAACCCGAGGGCAATGGTATGTATTCCGGATTCGTTTTGGATCCAAGTATTGACGGCTAATTAAACGGAATGGATATAGGCCCTCTTGACCGGCTTGAGTGTCACCACGCTCGCCGGCTATACCACGACCTCCACTGTCTACGCCGAAGAACCCGTATGCCCCCTCCCTACGTACAAATGACCCATTGGCTCTGATATCTAACTCCTACGGTTATATCTAGTCACAATCTACCAAGAAATCGATATACGATGACCCCCTTCCATCGCAACCTCCCAGTTCAACCCCATCCCTCTCCCTCACAAGCCCCTCGGAAACTTCAGATAAGGAATCACGCCCCACCCCGACAGTCCGATTAGCATCCCAAATCGGCACTGCCCGTCTCTTCGTCCATTCCGAATTCTCAAAAGCCCAACGTTTCCTTGATACCTACTTCGACAAATATCTTCACGTCGAGCATAATGTCACCACTACAGTTGCTTCTCTTGCTCCGTCCCACCGTTCAAAGGAAACCGTCCTTCCCGGTGCGATATTCATTGCTATATCAACAATGGCCGGTAGCGTACTAGCCAGACGGAGGATGCTCCCGATCAGATTCTTGACACCAGTGGTAACCGGTGTAGCTGCATCATGGTATTTCCTACCGGAGACGACAAGGAACGTGGCCGACCTAGCATGGAAATGGGAGCAAAAGGTGCCACAGGTTGCAGAGACACATTTGAAGGTTAGGGACGGAGTTGAAGAAGGTTGGAAAACTGCCAAGGGAGGTTATGATCATGCTATCGGGACTGTAGAAGATACAACGAGCAAGGCTAGAAGGACGATTGAAGGATGGGTTAGGAATAGCAAATAGACAGATCAGGCGTTCCTATTTTGGGGGTAGAGAATACTACACTTGGGAAGAAAAAAAGGGGGTGTAAGAGCAGGCCGGGGTGTATATATTCTTTGGGAACCTATTGGTATCAAAATACAGCTCTTATTTTGCCTTTCCCCTCCTTTCATTTAAATGCATTATTACCTGGAATTCGAAAAATAGCTTAAAATCTTTAGCGTTTAGTGTATATAAGAAAATCTTCTTTCAGAGAACCCCAATGCATGAAATGGTATATAAGTCTTCCCATACGGGCATTATACGAGGCCAAACCCCTCGGAAGCAGGTACGTGCAAAGAAGTGCAGAACAAAAAAACAAATAGGTACAGGCTAAGACACCAAGAACTCCACTTCCTAAGATCCATCATACAAGTCTCGATCGTCTGTATCAAAATTTAAAAGAAGCACCAACGGCAGGGAAAGAGACCAATCGATTACACAATCAATGACGTCATATCATCTACCACCACCACCACCACCACCCCCAGGAAAAGGAAATATATCCACAACCATCCACACTCCACTATAGCGGGAAGGCTAACGATACGTTCTCTCAACGATAACGGGGACGGTTCCTCGTCTACTGCTAACATGCGACCCCCTCGGTGTCGTGAATACAACACTAGCTTTCGACCCTCGTCGAGAATGGCTGTGACCAGTACGCTGGGTATGATAACTTGACCGTGGACGTTCGACAATGACAGTTTCATGCCGTACTGGAGGGACATGTACGACCCGACGGGCGACAGGGTATTCGACTACCCGGCGACGCTCTGTTGTGCCACTGTTATTCAAAAATGTTAGTACTCTGCGATTTTCGAGATTCTGCAAGCCGAAATCTTAATCGTTATTTTTGATATAAAATCTGCGGTGTACAGGTGTAACCAGTTTATGAACATTATTGCGAGATCAATGCTAACTTACATTAAACACATCTTGGAAAGTATGGGATATATCTGCTGGATTCGGATTCGGGGTTGAATCCCAAATTTTTATAGGATCTGAATCACTGGTTTCAGGGTTTCAATTGAGGTCTACCGCGACAAGTGCTATATGGACCTCAAGGAGATATTTATGCTAGGTATGTATAGGAGGTATATTGATATGATGATGAACTATGAAAGAGAAAAGCTTTACGAGTCAAGAAATTCCAAAAATTTCAGAGTCATCTACGGGGAAGAGATTGCCCGTATTTATACTCTACCGGTTCTAGGTAGATACTAAATTAACAGCGAGGTAGTCTACTTCGGTACGTATGTGTAAAAAAACTGGGACATATGCATGCTAACGCTATAGCATCCAATGGTGTCCTGATCCGGATCCTCCTCTATCGCATATGTCACAAGGGTCGGCTTGACTTAAACTATTCCGAGTGCATCGCGGAGCAGACCATGAATAAGGGTCTCCCCTACTTTTTTCTGCATAGCCTGGTCCGAAGATGCAACCGGTGTGCTAGCTAGTTGGTATACTATCCATTGTTAGATTTATTTTCCGGCAGTAGACTATCATGTAACTACTTGTATATACAGGTACTTTATATTCCTGAATCCGAGGACTTCGCAAGTTATAACATATACAGCGATGCATGATACTTTGGGAACATGGTATGTTTCATTGCAAAGCTGTATAACTAGGATTTGATCCTAAGTATCAATGTATAACTTTGCATGTATAAATATTAAATGTAACGCCTCGAATTCCTAAATTCGCCGGGCGCGGGGCGAAAATTCTATGAATCACAGCTCATCTGACTCCCAAAGTAGAGGCAGACGTAGCCTACTCACAAGTGTGCTTACACAGGCAGAGCCTCGTTGAATCCTTGCTGAAAAAGTACCTTTTCTTAGCAAATTAAATGATACTGTTAGCTGTTTATCATCATGTAGGTACGGTACGACGTATGATACCGATTGGACTCCAAATACCCGGATGATATGATGCGCCGTTATACACAATGCACTCTGTGATGCACGACGATGTCATTCCGAAGTTGCTGGTTACTTCGAGTTCGAATTCCTATGCACCAAGTTTTTTTTAAAAAAGGTCCTGTGACGAACGCCCGCCAACGGCAGCCTTTGATTAATATATTATAATTATACATCCGGATTCCGAAACATGCGAACTCAATCCTATCGATAATGCAATGTAATGCAAGTTCAATCGAATAACATCTTTTCCTAGAATCCAGATATTAGCTATCCCCCCAAAACCGGTTTTCCCAATTAAATACAGCGGATATGTCGAGAGAGGTTTAACGCTCAAAGTGGTTTTGGTAATACCAAGGACCGAATGATGCAAGGCTGCATAAGGGTGAAAACTAACCGACGTATCCCTGCATCAGCTGGTGCTGCAGCGCCCCGAACAGAAGAAGCCAAAGCCCCTTGAAAAAAAAAATCGGTGACAGTATTCTCCGTCGATTCTCGCGACAGACATACGGGACGGACAGATTGACAGCTCGGTTCAGTACAATTCCGTACGTCCAGTAGCTTCTCAGCTGCAATAGTGAAAATTTGTTAAGTGACCTGTATCAGAAAATATTAAGCGTCTAGGCCGATATATATCTCCGAGCGTCTATGGGTTATGTGAATGGGATGCGAACCTCTCTTGCCCAAAGTCCGCAATATCGAAATCAATCTTAACGTTATAGCAACATCTCAAACCTCCAAATTTCGAGTTTCAGAACTTCAAAGGAAAGCCACCATTCAGCACAGACAACAGCCACCACTTATATTACTACATATAAGAATCCAAAAGCTTTCAGATCTTGGCTCCAATTTAAAGCACGTGGGGAAGGTACGTAAGCCCCGCCACCATCTTGCAAATAAAGCCCGACCGTAATCTCTCCCATTCGGTTGGCTGCGCAGTAGAATTCAATCAACGAATATTCGAAATTAGCCAAAGACTCTTGATTTAGAAGCGGCACGACACAGCCAGACAGAACGCCCTGTGCGTGTGAGTTCGGCTTATTGTTTGCACGGGGGAATATACCGGATTGATACGAAAATACGGGGAACGATAAACGATAGCATGATGTTACGTCGATTACAAAATAGTCACTGTGTTTAGTAGTTAGTCCGAGATATTCTGCAGGCTAGACGCCTACGCTACTCCTAGACAAACAATAATATGTATGTACTCGCGATCGTCATCGTAAGCACATATATTCACATTCACATACATGAATCCATTGAACACAAGCAAACATGGATTTCCCGCGAAACCATTCCCGTTTAGAAGCTTCAGATGATAACCCAGTATCAGCAAGAGATATGCATTGGTATCGGCAATTGCGGGTCCGCAGCAACAGCACAGGTTAATTTTCTGCCCAATAGGAACCACAATCCCCCTTTCGCGCAGCGAAGGTTGACTGACAACGTCTGCCTGACGAACCGGTATTCGTTTCAGTGTTTTCTTTTATATATATGTTTTTTTGTTTTCTTCTCCTACTACTCACTCTCTCTTTTAATTTTGCTAAGATAGCAGATATATTATAAAGTTAAGTTAAGAGTGAGAGTGAGAGGGAGAGAGATCCCGTGGTATGCTAGATTTAAATAGGCATTCATTGGAATCTGTCGAATTGAAAAGAATTCAGAGACCGACCGACCGACGGACCGACCGACCTCTTTGAAGGGGGGTCCCTGGCTGCCAGGTTCATTCAATTACAATATCAGTGAGACAACCGTGATTGGCGTCGAAGGTAATATATCTGACTCGTCAAGAGATATTATAATTAATCCGAGCATCACCTCATATGCTCATGCATATGCATCGTATCCCGTACCTTCTCTCCTCCAAAAACCCTCTTTTGTTCACAAAAGAAGTAAAAGAGACATATGCCATCATCGACCTTCACAGACGGACACTTCACTATCTTTTTTAGTTAGCTACCAACCGCAGCAGTGACAGCCGCGGGGCAACTGCACTGTAACTTGCCACGGAACCTTGGATTGGACCTCTGTGCATCTTGTTCCTGCATTTTGACTCGGGCCTACTAGTTTCAAACCAACCCAGCCAGCCCCTTTAAACACCAGAGACACTCTCCTATTCCTTCCTTTTTCCTCTCATAATAATCTCTTTATTAAACCCAACCACTTTCCTTTCCTTGCACCTCTGGCATCTTTTTACAAAAGGGTCTTGACTCTCGTTCAATAAAGTCTTTTCTAGACGGTTTCATTCATTCCTTCTTTAACGATATTAACCACAACACGCTCGTTTAAAATAAATACCCGTTGAAATTCTGGATTTCCGTTTGGGTGGTGGGAATTTCTTCCGAGGACTCCGATTCGCGACGGTTCTTTGCATTGAAAAAGGGAAAAGCTGGGCTTCTTTCGACCAAAATTACAACAATAACAACGCACATTTTCGACTGCTCGATTTTTATACAGCTATATTCTTTCGACTGAGGAGGAAGGTTTTCGAATTTTTGGGATTATCCTTTATAATATCATTCTGATTTGAGGATATTATTCGGAAAGGAGATACTACGACAAATGGCACCAAGCGACTGGCTGTCTGTGAGCCAGACAAATTTCAGGAGAGGCGTTGAAGATGATCTAGCTACATTGCCAGAGACACTAGGAAACTGGGACAAGTATGTTTCCTACCCCCCACTATTTCATGACATTCCATAGATGCAATATGTGGATTTGTGAAACATAAAGCTAGAAGAGCTACAAGAAGAAGAAGAATACTGACAAATAAACGAAAACAAAAGATGTATGGAGAAATCCTGGTGCAAATACCCCCTAATTGCAGGCTGCGTCGTCGGCGCCCTGGTCCTGATATCTATAACATGGTGCTGCTACCGATGCTGCTGCCGTAGTCGCCGCAAGAAGGCCGACCGTTCCAAATCCACATTCTTCAATGACCCGGTGCCTTCGTACATGTCGCACCCCCCACCACGACCTACACCGAGCGGGTACAACAGCAGCAATACCATCGGGCCAAATACCTCAAATTCGACACCAGCCCCGCAATATGCATACTTCGCATCTGGCACCACAGGACCAAAGGATAACGATGCTCTTCCCGTCATGCCTTCGTGGAACGGCTCCAAAAATGAAAAGGTAGAGGACACATCTGTCAAAGTCGAGGCCATCGAACTGGAAGATGTATCTTCTGCGTCTACCCCTCCACCGGCCAATAACCGCCTTAACAATAACAATGCCGACTACCACCAATCCAACCGTCCAAACTTCCAATCACAACAGCCTCAGAACCTCAATCCCTTTGGCCCACAGCGTCTAAATAACCCGTTCGGCCCACAGCCCCCGAGCGGGCCCCCCGCATTCCCCCCTCCAAACCGTACCCAATCCCCATACCCTGAATCTCACACAATGCCAACAGCCATAATCCCCCCACCAACCACCAACCCCCACTACAACACCGCCCAGGGCCTGGACGACTTCGACTTCAACCCCCATATCAACGCCCAAAACCAAGGTCCCTATGCCAACGCCGAGATCTACCCCCCAGAACCGTCCTACCAGCACCAACAAACCGGCGTCACCCAGCCCCAACAACCACAATTCACAGGAACAACCTCCCCACCACCGCCATTCCAACACCAAACCTTCACCGGCACTACAATCTCCGGGGAAACACACGCCTACACTCCAACCCCCCCTCCTCAAGCGCTCCTAACCGCCCAACAAACCGGTGGTCTGCCTTCCCATCCAACATCTCACACTCCTCCTCCGCTCCCAAGTTTCAACACCTCAGGTACCACCGCAAACGGATTCAACCCTGCAAATAACCCCCCACCACCGCCACCACAAACAACATCGATCCCACGACCCCAAAATAGCAGCGGTGGATTTGTAGCGCAGATGGATGACGATTTTGGACATTCGCCCGTTCATCTTACAAATCCTCATCTACAGAATAATAACACCGGTGCAACTGGAGGGTTCAATCACAATGATTTCGATCATGGTGGATATAGCGCCTACAACCCACATAATAACTATCAACAGCAGCCCCAGCAGCAGCATCATCAGCAACAGCAGCCGGGATGGAGTGCTTTCTAAACCCTGCACATGCGCAGGTAAAGCAGAATAAACCCAATACGTTGCTCTCTCTTTTTTCTTGAGTATATTTGACTTTTTCTTCATTTCTTCTGTAATATATTATATACCATCTATTTATTTTCCTTGTTTTCTTGGAGTACTATCGGATTGCACACTTTTTTTTTCGTTTCTTCGATTTATAATTTCTTTCTTTCTGTTTTTCTTCTTCTTCTTCTTTGTAATCTACATACCTTTTCTTTCCTGTCTTTTCTTCTTTCATTATTCCTCTTTCATTTCCTTTTTCTGCTCACGAACCGTTACGATACTCACCTACACTTTTTTCTATTTTCTATTTTTTTATTTTTCTTTGTCTTTTTTCGCCCTCCCCTTCCAAGAGCGTATTCCAAACATGATCACAGCATGCGCATTTGGTGGTAAAAAAACCCACCGTACCCCATTCACAGCTATAACCTACCTACCAATTTACTTGCAATATATATTTTTATCAACAACAATGCATGTATACAAATAACTATGTATGTATGTCTATATCGAGTGCATAGAGAGAGGGAGAGAGAGAGGGAGAGAGACTGAATCAAAAAAAAAGATATCAAAGAAACATAATATTTTCGAAAGTAAATTGAATAAATAGATATGCGTAGTATACATGTCGAATTGGGATTAACCAAAAGGTTGGTTATACTCATTAGGTTTTCCGTGGAGAAGTTAAAACTATTACCCGCCCACTTCTCTCGGGGAAAAAAGATAAGTAAGTTTATTGTATATTAATATATTGGTAAATTCTTGTCTCGTAAACCAGACCCGGTTTGGAATCAAATCTGCATAATCGAGACATGCAGCATACCCGGCGTAATTAATATTTTTTATTCAATTCATGCATGCGCCCGGAATATATAGATATTAAGAATACTACGCACATCGTTACGGTATAAGGGCAGTCAGTAATAAGTATAATCCATATAGCCTCGCGCAATTTACAAATTAAGTAATTATAGAAAAACCTAGTTACGAGACAAAAGAAAACCGTATATCTGTGTAAGTATGTACATCATATCTAAGTACTCAACATCAATACTATTACTTTTTCACCTTCCCCCTTTTAAATTATAAACTTCGCAAAAATATTTCAGAATCATTGGTTTTGTTTTTTAAATTTAAAAAGAATATCCAAATATCATAATCTTCAAGGGTGCAACCTAGCTTCTGGTATACCAAGCCCCCACCTGCCTGCCTGCCTAAATAGAGGGCGACATGCAAAAAAATTAACGCAAGACATTAATTATCAATTACGCACCCGAAGGCTAAGTAAGGTCGGCTGTCTCTCCTCCTCTTCTCTCTTTCCTTATCCAACCCTCCATGATTCGGCATCACTTTCCGAAGCCACACTTCTTTCCCCCCCCCCATTTCTACCCCACGTGCACGTGCGCTATAATTTCGTATTCAAGAAGAAGTTGATGTCATTTCGTTTCCCCCGGAGATATATCATCGGGAATCATATAAACAAAAAAAAAAAAAGGAAAAAAAGGAAATAAAATAAAAAAGACAAATAAACACCGTGAACACCATGAGTGGAAGAAAAAAGCCACACCAGAAGTAGACAGACAACTGTATGGCAAAGAGACAAAACACTGTAAGTTATACGTTTATAATAAGAAAAAAAGAGTTCATCCACCAGCCATTACAACATAAAGCAAAGCCACGAAAACTAGAACAAAGAAGAAAAAGGACGAATGAGAAATGATCCCCTCCAAAGCCCATAATATCTTTCATTTTTCTTTCGAATGATAGCGATGGCATTGGATAAAAGCGACCGATTAAACCCCAATTCTATTTCGGAATGGTCCCCCTTCCAGGTCAATAACCGCACTCTATCCCTTTCTCTAAACCCATCCTATTCTTCCACCTTCCTTATATCGAGATTTAACGCTTATGCGCCTCCTCCGGTCTCGGTGGCACAAACGGAGCAGAGCTACCTCCAAAGTTATTCATTTCGTAATTCGGTCCACCAGTATATGTCGTCCCGCTCTGTTGTCCCGGTTGTCCATAATAACCACCATTACTTGGCGGTGAATAAACCGGCGGACTTCCGGCTGGGTTGTATGGAGGCTGTTGTTGTTGGTTGGAAGCATATGTGTATCCTCCGTATTGTGGACCTGTGCCTTGATTATGATGTGGGATATTGTGAACGTTGTAGGCTGGTGGAGCAGCCCATGCTGTTCCGTAGAATGGTGAAAGACCACGGGAACGACGGCGACGGGCGGAGAGGCAGGCGCAGAGAAGGAGGACAAAGGCGGAGAAGGCTGAATAGATGAATTTTTAGTTACCGACTTACGTATGAAAATGGGAGTTGGAACAGGGAAGTCACATACTTAATAGAGCGCCGAGGACGGCCCAACGTTGCCAGTGGTACCAAGGGGAGTAGTAACAATACCCTGAGGAGTCGCAGGTGCTAGAATACTAGGGTCAGTACGAGGGTAACTAACGTTATGGAAGGTATATAAGAGTAGAACATACTAGTAGTCCCTCTTGGCTATAAGCGCAATCAGTTCCTCTCTGGGTAAAACGACCATGGTTGTTTGATTTTGAGTGTATATCCTTCTAATACCGAAAAGATTTCTTATATTCGGATTCGAGGGTTCCGTATGAATGTGAAGTAGTAGTAGTAATAGTAGTAGTCGATCGATGTTTGCAAAGCGGCGATAAACTTCCTTTTTCTCTCTTCTCGAGTAACGTTTCTTAAAATCTTCTAGAAAGAAAAAATCGAGTGATTAATTTTTTAAATTTCAGTCCCGGAAATAGAACAAAAGATGATAAAGTTTTCTCTCTCTCTCTCTCTTCGCTTTCTGTGGGTTCCCTTGGGAGTATATTATATAAATGTGAGAGGGGAAGGGATGATTAGAGTTACAAGGGAATGTATGGAAGTGTCAGCCAGGCAGATTTGAGTTTTACAACAAAGCCAGATGCATGATTATGGAATATTAATAGTGGGAATGCTTTCTGCTCTTGGGATTTCTGCACTGCCCGGCTAGCTTCTGCCACACTTGACAAGCCTAGAACGAACGAACTTCTCTCCCTTTCTCCCTTTCTCCCTTTCCCTCCCTCTCTCGTGATTCGGAATTGGACGGGGGTATAAGGACAAGGATGTATGACAGACACTGTTACTACGAAGGAGGCGCATGTGTACTTACGGGGATGCTCTGGAGCTCAAAGAGGATGATGAAGCCTAACTTCTAGATGCGGTGTTGTTGCTGTTGTGGCCTGGCCTGGTCTGGTCTGACTCGGGTGGTGCCAAGAATTAATACAGCGGTGATGTCAATGGCTATTTGACGCAATATAATGTCCAATCCAAATGCAAGGTTCCCTCGGTTCTGATGATACCGATGGTATCGATGTTGAAGCTGGTTGTCGGGTGATGAATGATACGATGATGATGGAAGAAGAAGAGGAGAAAAGATGAAGATGAAGATGAAGATGAAGGGGAGAAGGGCGGGACTTAATTAAAAAACAAAAAAAAAAAAAAAAGAAACAGAAAACCTGCTTCCGATATTTGCCCAAGACGACTGAACTGGGTGACCTGACACCGCCTGTGGTTCAGGCTCAAACTAAAATCGACTATGCTGTGGCACCACAGTAACGTTAACATCCACGGCCGACTCTTCCGACTCTTTTCTCTCCTCAAGGCATGGTCACTAAGAAAACTGCGGACGGGATTTTTTAAATTTTTGCCCAACAGTTGCAAGGTTGGGGCCATGGGGGAAGGATGACGACGACGGAGAGACTACGCGGCCTTGGCTACTTGGCTTCATATACGACCCTCCATTCTATACCATACTACACTTTCACCGAGGCGGTGCTGAAACACTTTCTCTCTTTCTTTCTCTCTGGTAGAAGAAGCGACGGAGAAGGAAAAGCCCGAGATGTTATAACGTTAGTTGAAAAGCTATAAAGATGCTTGTTCGCGGTGCTATATCAGCTTAGTAAAAAAAATGAAGGACTCAACTAGCTCCCATCCTTTGGCCTTTTCGCCCTGCAGTCAGGTATTAATTAAGGAATATACTCTTCGATGTTATATATAAAAATAAAGATTAAGAATCTATCAACCTGGCAGTTAAGGATCCTCTTTTTTTTATTTTAGCATATCCAAAAGAATCCCCAATTGCCCGTTTTAGACTTTACCGAAAAACCCGGGCCGGGGTTATAACTTCGTCCGGGGTTATCATCTGACATATGACCAAACTTTGACAGTCGGCCGCGGGGAAAACCTGCAGTTAACGTTTATACTTTTTTAGTCGGCCTTTTTACTTCGGCACCGATATCTATCAATGGTAAGTATAAATCCCCTATTTATTGTAGTCTCGGAACGGCCCATCTGTGTAATTCAAGCAAACTAGCTCCCGTTAGCTCGGCATGATCGATCGCATATACATACATAACATACATACTTTAGCTTAGAATTAATTAGATTACTAGTCGAATAGATCGGATTAGATTTGATAGATGAAAAAAACACTAGTAATATATGGGCGCCTAGTACTGCAGTAGATGTTATAACCTTATCGATTAATTACCCAATACCTATTACCTACTATACTTACTTACTTGGTATATAAATATAACTAAAACACCCGTATAGATACCCTCAAAACGGGGCTTCAGTATGTAAGTAATTATATCAATTTGAAACGTATTAATCGTTTCAATTGATAATTTATCGATAAAATGGACTGGCCTTATGAAGTTGCAATTAATTGCATGGTCGGCAGGATATTAGCCTCCCACGTGTGTGCCCCCCAAGACCACCTCCGCAGATACAAGTACTTACATACACACACGTGGAAGCTCTCCATCCAATCCATACCTCTTTTTCATACCATAGTTCATTAAATTAATATCATATACCTCCTGGACCCACTCGACTGACTAACTAACTAACTAACTAACTAAATCTATCGATCAATTGGGAGAAATATAACATTCATGTCAAAATACATGGAAATAAAAACATTACGCTGAGCAGTCGGAGGGTGGGGGGCCAATAAAGATTCAATCAGACAAGAGAAATGAAAAGGGAAAAAAAATGAAACTTCGAGGGAGAATTATACTGTGACTAAAATCGTAAGGACGAGAAGAAGCGGCCGTGTCAGGGTAGTTACTACAAGTAAATTGACCAATCGAACAAATCAATAAATTAAAAAATAAAAAGAAGAAGATATGTAATATGGACTAAAACTAACCCGCCCGCTCGAAAGACAAAAAAAACATAGTATGACTGAATACCCCCCTCCTCCCTTATTCCCTTGAAACCCGTAGCAACTACAAGTATACCTATAAGTAAAAGTAACAAAGTTTCCCCGGAAAAAAAATGAGGGGAAAAATAAAAGACAAATAAAAAACAAGTGAAGAATTGAAAGGGATTAAAGTAAAAGAGAAGAAAAAAAAACCCGCAGTGCTCTCGCCGCTCACTAATGAAAGAATACCGTCTATTAAAGCCAAACAAGGAAGAGAAACATAAAAAGCATTCGCAAAAATGATAAAGAAACTAGGACATCAGCAATAGAGTAAAGTCGTTTCACCAAACCAATGGGTGTGCGGTGCATCCCATATCGAATCTAAAAAACTAAATTTCGCTGCTGCTTCTTTTTTTTGTAAATTTTGTCTCTCTTCCATTCTTTTTTTTTTGTCAATCGTTAGAATTTGAAACAAAGACCGCGATAATATAGCAGGGGAGAAGAATGGTAGTAACAAATAGCTGAACTTCAAGATAATGCTCGGATATATAGAAGAAGAAAAAAAGAGTAAAACGATAGTGCACGCTCGGGTATTAGAAACTAGAGATTAACAAGCTTAACGAGAAAAAGGGAAGAAAGTGAAGGAGAAGAAATCGAAAAAAAAAGAATAAAGCAGAAGAATGTGAAGACAAAAAAAAAGACTTCGTAAAAATCCCGGGACACATCAAGTCATCAATTGGTTGTTTGTAGAAAGGCATGAGCAAGGAAATCCGGCCGCGAGTCAAATTCGAATCCGCGAGGAGAGTTGGAGAATTGAACGGGGAATGTTCCTCAACGAAAGAAAAGAAGAAGTAGAATTTGGGAAGGATAGAAACGAATTTTTTTTTTGAAGGCGGCCGCCATCATTTCTTCGCCTTATTAATCAACCATTGCAATACTGCGTCAAGGTTTGTCTCCTCTTTAGCGCTAATACTGTAGCAAGATACCTCTCGATGTTTGATTTCTCGTAGGTCAAGTTCGTCAATGAGGTCATCAACGCCTAACTTATCCGGCAGATCCGACTTGTTCCCCAGAACTAGAAGAGGGATGCCTTCTAGAATCGGTTTTAGAAGAAGTGTATGGAGTTCTTCTCGGGCGATCGGAAGGGCGGCAATATCCGCGGAGTCGACAATAAAACTGAAATATGTGTCGTTAGATGATAAATCTTCAAGTTTCAACAAAATTTAACATCGACTTACACAATTGCATTGGCGCCACGGCAATATCTTTCCCACATGGCTCTAAATCTAGGTTGACCGCCCAAATCCCAGCTATAGCGAAACATCAGTAACCAGTCCTATAAACGGTATTCGAGTGACCAACTCACCATTTGAGTGTAACGTGGCCTTTCTGTACTCTCTTCATGTTGAAGCCGACGGTGGGGATAGAGCTACATTATCAAAGATTAGTCACCTATCAAGAGAAGAAGGAAAACAAAGAGAAGCATAGGAGGTCATACTCAGTAGTAAATTCACCCCCCTAAACCACAAACTCCACATTAGCATCCAGATGTCTCCCAGTTTCAAATCCAATGAGCGAGCTTACCGAAAGGACCCTTAACAATGATGTCTTGCCTGCATTCTGTAGACCAATCATCGTGATATCCATCTCCGTAGCCCTAAACACTGCAAGTCAGCAAAAAACATTGTCTTAACTCGCTTATACCCCCTTCTTTCCCGCGGCGAGTGATGAGGCAATCGTACCAAAACAGGCTAAGCAGCCAATCGTATATTCGTCTGAAAAATCCAGCCATGACTATCGATGTGTCGCCAAACCTGGCGGCCGTGGGAGGATGAAGAGGAGGAAAGGGACGTCAACGACGGAGACAAAAAGCGTAAGAGAGGACCACAACCACGGACGTAAAGTCTCCTCGGCCAATGTAATTATCCGTCCCCTTTCCCGAGATTGTTCCAATTATGGTTCTTTTGGAGTAAAGTTTCCGGAATGATGCCAGATAGGTGATATTTTGGGAAGGAGTATGCTGCCGAACGGCGAAGCTGTGGCAAACAATATGAGAAGCTGTGATGCGGTCCTAGGGAGATTTATTTCGAAAGCCGTTGTTAATAGTAAAACAGAAAACTTCCAGATTCTGTTGCAATGGAATGTTATTTTTCTTTAGGTAAAAAAGGATCTTTATAATAGAAAAAAAAAGGTCGTTAGATGATCAGCGTCCCGAAGGACCCTCGTGCAATTGTAGTTCTAGTATCCTTCAAGTTCCATGAAATGCTGAAGCGAATAGAAAGAGAATCTCGTGAACCCTAGTCGTCGGTAGTACAAAGGGCAATCGACGGCCCTGATCCTGAAGTCCCTATTGGTGATCTAAAGAGGCAATGTATTCCAGGCGAGAGGCAAGAAGTAAGAGCAATCCAGGCTATCGTCTAAAGAAGGTGCAGATTTTCCAGGGATGCAATCTTTTGTTTTTGTTTTTGTTTTTTGTTTTTCAAGATGTTGTATGTTCCTCGAGGCCAGAACTGTCGGACGTCTAGAGTTGGAGGTTTTTTTTTTTTTTTTTTTTTTCTTCCTTCCTTTGCTGCTTCTTTTTTTTTGACAGGTCTTGGTTCCTTTAAACGCTGTGTGTCCGGGAAAAGCGGGTAGCCGGGCTGTGTATCTAGGATCTATGCAGATAATATGCGCGTGAAGGGGGGAACAGTTTCCAGGGTTTAAGTAACTAGATGCCTTCGGAGGATTGTTGTAGAGCACAGAGAAGGGAAGAGAGAGAGAAAACAGAGCAGTAGGTAAATATCAATATATGTGGTCCCGGAGGAAGGCTTCTCTAAAAGGCGAACCGGGTCCTTAGTGGTAGCTCCTGCGGTAGTTCAAAATAGGTGGTGTTCCAGGCGAGACGTGGAATGGGAGCTTCGGATGGGTCAGCAGTTCGGATTGGAAATTTGAGGGAAATGTCGAATGCGACTTAGTCGACCTCTGCAGGTTAAACTTGGGGTAGACAGGCCGTGGAATGTAGATCGCAGTGAGTTCAGCGGTCACCGGAGGATATAATATAACGTCCCGCGAATGCACCTAGGTAAAGACAGTGTCCCTGGCAGCTGGAAGTCCAGAAACTTGGAAATCTGGGAGTGAAGTATATATGAGGTCACGGAGAAGATAGGCGCGCTAGAGATGACCGGGGAAAGGGTCCAGATATCGATGGGAAGCTAGATGTAATTCTAATAATATCGGAGCCGGAAAAGACAGCTTCTTCGGACGTGTTGGAGATCGAAGCTTGACGATGCAAGATGTTTTTTTAAGAAAGAGAAAAGAAGAAGAAGAAGAAACCAAACTGTGTAAGTAGAGTCTTAGGATCGTGTGTAGGTAAAAAAAAAAAAAAAAATGGAGGTCCAACAGGCGAGCTTTGTGGAGTAGTCGAGTCAAGTCGAGTCGAGTATAAGTGGCCTGGGTATGGTGGATGTGTATATGGTTCTGTCGCTATATGTTGCACGACATGCGTTTCAAAAAAAATAAAATAAAAAAATAAAATAAAATAATGTCTAGCTTAACGATGGAGAGGCCGGGATATCAATGCAGCGGGTTCTATTCGACGGCGATGCGACTATATAGGAGCAAGAAGATTGTGAGCAGAGGAAGCCTGAAAAGAAGTAGAGGCCCAATAGCAATGCGGCAGACGAAGTGTGGAGGGAATAAAAGGCAGCTTCTGGCGAATGAAAGAAGAGCAAGGGGGGAGGAACGAGGTGACAAGCACAAAGAAGCTTGCATGAAAGAACTTTTTGGAAAAGAACGAGAACGAGAACAAGAACAAGAACAAGATCCAAGGCAGGAATTGGAAGCCCTGATATTCGATCGACCTCAAAAGCCGTTGGGGGGAGGGGAAGGGGAAGGGGGGGATGTGTGTGTGTGCACGGTATGGTTCTGGCCAGGAGGAGACCTTGACCTTGATCGATCTTTTGGAGGGAGTGGAACGCAGGTACGAGAGACAACCGGACCAGCAAGCCCCCGGAAAAGCAGAATCGCGAGAGTCGCAGTTTCCAGCTATCCAGGTTAGTGTCTGGGGGGGTCAGTAAGAGAGATGGGTGGGAGGAACTGTACCTCCTCCAAGGACGCGCAGGATTTAACGTCAACGTATGTAAGCAAGCAGATAAGTAGGTATGTATGTATGTATGCTAGGTACGTACGTATGTGGACTTCGAAATGTGCGATGCACTTGCACTTGATCAAAGCAAGCAAGCAAGAGAAGGGCGCGGCGGCTGTGAGCTCTTGGAAGGCTATCAGAAGTAGCGCGGGTATTCCTCTCTGGCTTGACTGAGAACAGTTTAGATCTGAGAGGCTCGAGGTAAAAGTCAAGAAAAGAAAGAAGAGAGAGAGAGAAAAAGAAAAGGGAATTATACTATACTGTACTATACTAGACTATCGCTCGTGAAGTACCGTACGTTACAATATGTAATGTATCTAGTATATAAATGCGGGTGGTTATTTCTTTTTCATACTCTCGTTCTTCGGCGCTTTGACGTTGGTTTTGCATTTTGCATTCGATTCGCGAGATAAATCCTCTGACGAGTGCAAGTGCAAGTGCAAGTGCAAGTATTGTGCAGGTGCAAGGCAAGGCAAGGCAAGGCAAAGCAGAACAAAAGCAGGAGCAGGAGCAGGAGCAAGGGAAGGAGACAAGGAAGTTCGGGGATTGCGCTTATACTCACAGCTGTGGTTCCATATAAAATATAAAAGACCCGGGGTGCCGACGACATACATTACATTACATCTACATTACATAGTCCGGATGCAGTAATGTATATGAGTATGAACATGTACAGGTACATGTACCGAAAACTACTACACCAAACTCTTTAGTATACTATATACTACTTATACACTGCTTAGGTATATACTAGTATGGTAGTATATGCGGTGAATTTTTTTTTTTTTTTCTGAAGGCTTTAAGCTTTCTTTCCGATATAATTTTTTGTGAATGAACTCACCTGCTCGTGATAATGGACTTTAGGTAACCAAGTTCGACTGTCGCTTGACCTTGACCTTGCTGGGAAGGCACCGGGAGATAATTACACACTCTCTTTCTTTCTTTCTTTCGTTCTTTCTTTCTTTCTTTCTTTCTTTCGTTCGGTCTTCTATGTCCCGGCCGGCTTTATCCCTCGAACCTCAACAATAAATCTCTAGGCAAAAGCCCGACCACCAACGGGGCGGGGATGGGAGGGGACTCTCGGAGGGTGTGGTGAGAGTGGAAGTTAAACGTTTTTTTTTCGTATTTAATCTTCAGGACACAGTGGATTCTTATTCTTCTTCTTTTTTTTCTTATTCCTCCCTTTGAAGGCCTTCTTTTTATTTTTTTATTTTACTTCTTTATTTAAATAAAAAAGATGGTGGTGTCGAATCGGATGGGACGCCTCTGTTTCGGGGAACGGGCAGACTAACAAGCTTCTTGAATTCGATGGAATTGTTGAAAAAAGTCCGTAGCCCGCGCGCCGGATTTCTTAAAACTAACTGGAACTCCCTTGGACTAGCCCGAATGGCACATCCCGAGCTGCGTGCTCAAGCTTGTCGTCGTCATGATGGATGCAATGGTAGATAAATGATAAAGTGAACAGATGCCTGTTAATGTTTTGACCTGTAGTTTATAAAATAAAATAATAAAAATGAATAGCTAGAAAATTAAAGGGCCTTCCCCCCCCGCTCGAGAAAGATAGTCTACTATCTTTCCGACCTTTCTGATATGGAAGACTACTACTACTACTACTTCTTTAATTCTTAGAAAGAAGAAAGAAAAAGAGAGAAAAAAAAGGCTCTAGGGCCTTTAACCTGGGATATAAAATACCGCCCACATGCAATATATCCAAAAGGTCATCCCTCATCATCCCCATCCCATCTACATGTACATACGCCCGATGACCGCGCAAGGGGGTGGCATACATAGAAGCAAGAAGAGGCAAGAGCGATGCGCCTTTTTCTTGCACAACCTCAAACTACCCTTCCACATTCACACTCTCACTCTCACACCCCTCATGGCTCATGGCTCATGGGTATGGTATATTTACAGTAGTCTACTGTACTGCCCCAAGCAGAAAATTTCCCGCTGCCACTTCCCTCATGATGTCCGTATTACCCTGTCGAATTGTCACCCCTAGTCGAAAAAATGATATATATCTATATAATAAGTGTATACCCCCCCAGTCGACCAAAAAAATGAAGAACCGGATGAGCATGAATGTCTTGCAGTAGTGTCGATGTAATGTACCGTACCTTACCTTACTTATCCTTATGTTCTTCTGTGCATGGCGCATATGTAGATGCGGTTGGGGTCCATGGGTAAAAAGGCGAGCAGGGCCATGGTCCACACCAAAGATTTATATGTTAAAGCACCGGATACACATGCGCTACATTCATACATACACACATACATACATACATATCTTCCCTTCCTCTTGTTTAAAAAAAAAAAACTTCTCCGAACATTCCGTAGAAATTAAAGAAAGAACAGGAAGAGAAAAGAAGAAGAAGAAGAAGAAGAAGAAGAAGAAGGTCATGTTGCGTACCGTATCACAGAAGTACGCAAACGGGGTTTCACAACAGAAAAACGTTGGGCCATAACCATAACCATACATGCATGGGGGTTTTCCTTTGACAAAAGGCATGTAAGTACTTGGGAATACCACAAACCTCTCTCCCTCTTTCTCTTTCTCTTTCTCTTTCTCTTTCTCTTTCTCTTTCTCTTTCTCTTTCTCTCTACGTATACCTCTCTCTCTTTTCCTAAATAATACATACATATAATATGTAAAGGGTTTACAAGAGACCTCTTACGTGGGGTTAACGTTAACTTCACCGGTGCTCATCGCTGTCCCCCTCATTTTCAAGTGACATTCGAATCGAATCACCACCCAACCGAATTAGAGCTCCTGAACATTGAATGCTTAGCTCCAAATCTCACCCCACCCATGTCCCATCAAACGTCTGATCAAGTGACATCCCAAGCCATTGCCAGGGTGTGTGGAGGTCATACTGTACTCTGTACATGTATACGTACTTTGCATACAAGAGAGAGCTTGCCCCTCCACCAAAAAAAAAAAAAAAAAAAAAAAAAAAACCTGCAGATTAAGCGGGCCAAAGCTTTTTTTTTGTTTTTCGTTGGTATCCTCCACTTCTTTACCCGTTCGAGTATCGAGCGTGCGTGATACATACAGTATACATCTGCATTAGCGAGGAGGCGCTAAAGCTAGTAGCAGCAGGAAACAAAAAAAAAGGTCCAAAGGTAGAAAAGAGTGTATGCGGAGAGCGCTCTGAGTAAAAGCAAGCGACTTTTTTAATGGAGTTTTGATAGCTGCGGATTTCTCTCTCTAGTTTTTGCGCGTTTCAATTGATTCTGCAGTACAACATCATCATCATCATCATCATCATCATGGTGATAGTAACAAACGATAAAAAGCATTTCGTGAACTCATATATCATGTAATGTTGGTACTGTACTACATACTGTCTGATCTTATCCTGTCATATGCCATTCCCTGTCCTCCAGTACAATAGTTACATACAGGTCACTCAACAATGTAAGCTACCCGGTACTGCGGGTACCCGAACAGCTTCACACTCGCACACTCACCATCCTTGCCATGCGAATCGAAACGAACCAAGTTTTCACATATAATATCGGTGATATATTTCATTCTCGAAAGCTGGTCCCAACGGGGGTAAGAAGCGCACCAGCATCCCCACTATACACATGGATGGAGAGCGAGAGAGAGAGAGGAAAAGAGAGAGAGGGACCGGCATCTGCCTCACGAGATACCTAGTCGTCGGCTTCAATGGATTCCACGATATCCCTGATTCTCAATGCCATTTTTGAAACTGAATTTTTTTTTTTTTTCCCCATGCTGACACACGTTTTTCTTCTTTATAATTATTACTATTATTTTTTCTTCTTCTTCTACCTCTTCTAAATTACGGGATATCGCCGGTTGGTCAATGGCCTAATTTTTCTTATTTCTTTTCGCTTTGGCTTATGGGACTAAGGTAATTCGCCGAATACTCTTCTAGAAAGCTTCTTCTTTAACTCCGTCATGCATTATAGATTTGTATTACTCGATTTTAGGATCATAGAAGTGGGGGGCGGATATGTGTGTGACTGACTAAGCTTTTGTGGGAAACAAAGGTAGCAAGAAACGCTACCCAGGCAGAAGAACAGAAAGAGAGTGATATGTATAAGATAATAAAAAAAGTTTGTAGAATGAAGATTCTGCTTGCCTCCATAGTGTCATATTCCGGAACGCCTTGCTGCCTATTTCGCTACAGAATCATATAATTATAATGCAAAAGAAAAATAAAAAAGAAACTCAATAGGGGGGGAAAGGGAATGAAATCCACCATTTCCTTTCGCCCCTTAGCACATGGAAGTCGGTTAGTCCACACAAGCAGATAAAACACGGGCATCATCCTCATCCATCCATCGCCGCCATTTCACTACCTTCAGGCGGGTCGGGCGACATGATAGTCGTATGTATTTTCCACAGTATCTTCCCAACCGCATCCTTGTCTGCCACAAGCCCGTTCTTCAATCCCTCAAACGAAGCACCCGATAGCATCCAAATATGCCTTAGCCGTTGCACCGCGTCATGATGGTTCGTCTCTTGAAGTTGGCTCCGAAGCATTGGGTCATGAATGAACCACCAAACAGAATCTCGGCGGGTCCGTAATTTGATGTCTATAACGAAATTCTTTTTGAGATACTCAATGCGATACCACTCTGAAGATCGTGCGAGGACGAAGACTTCATCCTCAGGGGACTTGTCCTCTATCATGTCGAGTGCCGCTAGCAAGGGGAGAGTGAGACAAAGGGTACCAACGACCGCGGTAAGGCCTCGCTGGTTCAGCAGGGTGCGTAGGAAACTGCTGATACGACGGTGAGGATTCATAGTTGGAGTATCGAAAACAAGCTCCATCTCGTGCTCGCCATCAAAAGTAACCTCTGCTGAAAGTTCCGGTTTCTTATTGTAGATAAACCCGATTTTACCTAAGGTTACGGTCTTCGCCGTCAACTTATATTTCTGCACTGTAGTGATAAATCCGATGAGTCGCTCAATTCTGTGGAGCCGCTCGGTGATAGCATCCGTAACGATAGACCCAACCGATACCACAAACTGCATGATGAATGTTCCAGAACGAGGATGGAATGCAACATCGGACTTGGCAGCCGAGAGGTCTGCGGAATGTAAGCGAGTCATGGGTGTCTTCATTCTTCCTTCAACCAAAACGGTTATGTTTCCCTTTCGATCTAGGTCATGTAGACTCATTCGCAGGTTGTTGGCCCCCCAGTCTGATTTAGTGAGAGCTTTGAAATTGATGTTAAGTGTGGGTATCATGATAGCTGCCCCAGTATTGTTCGTTGGTATGAGACGGTAGTCGATGCGCTCAGCGCTCAGCTTGCGAGTATTGGTATAGAGTGTGATGAACGATGCCACCATCCTTTCAAGATTCTCAAGGAATTGATATGTCACCTGCTGGTTTCCAGAAATCGGTAATCTTTGCGCATCGTTTATTGTCCAACCACCCCGTATGGCTTCGTTTCTGAAAAGATCCAAGTTAGAGACGTCCAGTTTTTGATGGTTCTGTGAAACTTACATTTCGACGATCCACCAAAAATCACCAGTCACACCCAAAGAGACAGCCAAGATCCAGTTGTCGGACCAGGACTTCTTCCGCATATACATTATATACATGGTGGCGGACCCGAAAAACTTCTTGAGGTCGGCTATTCTAGGATTCAGCATTTTCAGGATCTCCCAACCCATGCTTTTCGCCCTTAGCTCGATTTCTTCTTGCATAGTCATAAATCTGATTTTGCTGATAGTCTCATGGGCTTTGTTTGCGGCATCCGCAAGCTGATTCATGCCGTTTTCTCCTCTTATCACCATATGAGAAGGTCGCTGTAGGGCAAATCGCCCAGTGATTGGTTCAATGATAACCGTCAGATTCCGAGAGGGTGTGAGCTGAACGGTGAGTTTTGATAGACCTGATGTGTCTGATGTCAATTGAAGATCAAGATGATCCGCACTGAAATTGGGTAGGCGGTTGAGGTGTTTGTATATGCTCTTTAGAATATACGCGGTATGTTTGGCAATCACCGATTTTAGTAAGGATTCTGCCGACAGGTTTCCAACATCCTAGAGCCAAGTTAATTATTAGATATAGCCATGGCTACAATTGTCAGACTGAATAACTTACGAATGTAATACCAGTGATCGAAGCCTCCTTTGCATCTCTCATCCACCGGAGCGACAACGAACTTGATCTTCCCTGATCGGGATTTCCTTTTCGAATACCAATTTCAATCCAGTTCTTAGCGCCTGGTTTCCCTAACCAGTATTGTACTACAAGCGTCCTTTTGATCATGTTGATGTAGAGAGTATCGGACCATTTCCCTTGGAGCATCTCTAGAAACTGTCTTCGAAGTATCGCGATCTTGTGCGTCATGACAAAATCATGCAAAAAGTCATATATCCCCACAAGTCCTTTGTTCTTCAAGATTTCATTGCCCCTGGCCTCGAGCTCTCCGCGTAACCTATCCATTGGCAAAATTTTGAGAGCTGGTTTGAAGACGAGTCGAAGATCAATGAAGTAGAGCTGCGAAGCATGGTCTTCGTCTGCTATTGACATGTCTAGTTCGAATTCGTCCGGCGATGTGAACGTAACTCGGCCAGAGTTAATCTCATACTGGTTGAAATAAGCCGGTGGTATGTCATGGAGGTTAAAGCGGATATGGAGAAGGGTATTGATGTTTTGAAATGTCTTAAGGATTTCTCTCGATGTCAATGGTTTGGGCGGAACATAGTATTCCCGAGCAGATGTGCGGGGTGGATCTCCAGTCGAAAGAGTCCTGACAGCGGTTGCCAGATCCGGGTTTGGAATCTTCGCATGAACCATGGCTCTCTGGGCCTCTACTACCTCCCAGACTACTTTTTCATAATTGACTCTTTGCTCGTCCATCCAAACCTTAAGGTCAATAACCTTGCTCACGTCGGCATTTTTCCCCGCCCATTGCGCCAGAACCAGTACTTTGATAAACTGTTGCCGCGTGTCGGAGACATACTTCATTAATCTTTTTCGTCGGGCTACATCATTTCCTTCCTGCAAGCTATCTGCAAGTTCTAACAGTTTTCCGTAAGAAGATTGTACGGTTCGGTCGATTATCGTCCCTAGCGATTGGAAACCATATGTGATATGAGGCAGCGGTGGGGCTTCGTCCAGAGAGAGGTTTACAAGCGCACTGCTTGGATCCTCGTCGGTCATCGGCGAGCCGTCCATCCTCTGTGGGGTACCCATTGCCGAAAGATTCTCGCGTCCTTTCCCGTTCCCGTTGACGATTCCCGTATTCGATGGGTTAGCGTCGTGACTGCCATGACCGTTGATTTCGATTGCAGCTGGCATAGTTGCCGCGCTGCTACCCGTTGTGGGCTTTCAAACGAAGACCTCCTGCCGACCGTTTCGGTCGCGCTCACGCGGCGATGAAATCGTTCAGTAGGCGTTTCTTGGTATTTGCGTCGGTGTCGCCAGAGACTGTTCTAAGGGCCCCAGGGTTTTCGAGAGGAGCCGCTTCAAGGAGCGTATTATTCTAGACGATGCTTATGGAATGATATCGGCTCGATAGAGGTGGGTGGCGCTGTTGATGAAGTGCGATGGTTCGAATGGTTGGTGGTTGGTTGGTGATGGTATAAAGTTGTTTGGTAAGTTGGTAAAGGAGGACGACTCGAATCCGCGGCAAGGCGAATCTTCAATGTTGCGTTTCGACCGGCAACACAAAACACCATGGTGGCACCACAACACGACCCCTTCGCCAAGACCGTGGAATGCAGACGGCCGACGGGGATACTGCATTGCGGGCAGGCAGAGCTGAGGCTGCAGAGATATCGATGTTAGCCGATGTTACGATATGTTATGTTGAATCAGCATGAACAATGATATTATGTTGTATAATGCCGGTTGACTCGAAAATTTTAAGCAAAAGGTTCCTTGAGGGTGTTTGATCATACTAAGCTATTAACTACTATGCATTGTTGCGTTAGACTCAAACCCAAAGAATTACTATATTGCGACATATGAAGTATATTGAGCCTGCATATTATTTTATTATGCGTCTGGCTCTGAGACGTGTATGTAAATTATACCCCATTCACGAGTACTTTCTGGTTAGATGGAGTAATACTGAATTAATTATAAAGCTTCCCCTGTATACCCCTTCTCTTATTTCAAAAATGCAACTAGTATGTATGTCCAGTTGTCTCGTACCCAGTATGTCCAGTTATATTACGTACATGTATATGAATCGACCGTTATATCGCTGACATTCATTCAGATGCTAAGTATCGATACCGCGTATACCGATACACCCGCATGTTTATAATAGTTGTATCCTCGGACTTTTATGCTCCACCGAAAGGCTAGTGGGCACGTGGGTTGAATTTCAAAGATCGATTTCATATGTAAATGTCTATATATTAAACTGTACTAGTACTAGCTAGAGGGGTGATATGTATACGATACTATGCCTAGATCGACGCATCAGGTACAAACTCAAGAATATAACCGGTCATGCATAAGACTTAAGGTTCGGTGTGTTAGAGGACGTCGATAATAACTAGTATTGGCTAATCGTTTTGATGACAGTCAAGGCTTATCGATATATATCTCGTACACAGCATGCGTGCTGTCTACATCATGAAGTTGAAGTGTGATCAGTTACCCATAACTATAATATCCTCGGGTTTTATATATCTATAACATGTACCCGACGGTTCGTACCGGGTAGGCCCCTTGCCCAATCTGCGCCTGACATTGGAGCGCCGACATAGATTCCCACACCTGGCCGGCTGTGCAACCGGTTCTACCGAGAGGTGGAAATTATAGAAAGCCATACAACTAAGGTATGCTAGTACTGCACTAGAGACTATAGATCTCGAGATAGGTATGACGTCCAGTACCGGCATCGTTTGGCTCCAGTGATATCATGATCGTAACCAGTTGGTGCAATGTTGGTCCTCGCGCAGCTAGCTAGTTGAATCGAAAGTATGTTCTCATGGGGAATGGTTAACGGTTGAGGCCGAGGATTTCATTGATCGATACAAACATCAAATTTCAGCTGCTTTATAAATGATGGTAAGTATGATGCCGCAGTATGTACTCGTATTGATTTAGATCGGCACAAGACTGATATTAACCCTTTTGAAACGAGATCGAGACGAGCTGATTCCGGGTTATCGATGCGTGTGGTTTGCTTGTGAATGTTTTAGTGGCCCTCAGTCTCACATCATGCCCCAAGCCCAGCAACCATCTTGTTTCTAGACTATTATATGTTTATACCAGTCCCGAGGCCAGGCAATATATTGATATTATGCTCCATGGATCCAAAAGACGTTAGACCGAATGTTGTGTTTTCTGAATGTGGCTATTAGACTCATGGACTCAAAGCAGCCGGCTAGCCAAGCTCACGGCCTAACATCCGGATACAAAAAGTCCAGAATTAAATCAAGTAAGTCCTTAGGACCAGGCTGAGAATCCTAGAAATGCGGTCAAGTTAGCAATCGTACGGTTCGATTTGCAAATTATTGACTCAATCAGTCCGCAAATCCGTCCGCACAAACACATATCGGACATCAAACCCGATAACTTACTTTATAGATATAGATACGTTATGCATGCCAGGAGCGCCATGTTCCGTCGCCGGTTCCTATGTCTGAAAGTGCAATATGGTACAATCGATTTACAAGAATTCAAACCGAGGGGGGCTTATATATACAAACCTTCCAGTCCATGGGGTGTCCATGTTGCTCTCACATACTCAATGCAAGGATACCGAGAACTTGCGTATGAAGTCTGATTAAAGGAAGGCTTCTAAGAATACCAAGCTGAATATATCCCTTTCCCCTGTGAGCTCCAACTACGTAAGGAGCTCTATGTAGACTAACCACCACAGGGATCGACAGTGATTTTATAAGTCTTTTAAAAGGGCGAATGCGGTGTTTGGTGATTTGGGGGACTTGGTTACATCATATCTGGAGAAATCAAAAAAGCCCAGGAATTCTTAAGACTCGATAAATACCTCATATGCATGTATGGCGTGTAGCCAAGGTAGAGTGCTTGTTGGTGCCATGAGGATGAAGACGAGTAGCAAGCACTCGGCATCCCAAGTGCTCAAATATCTTCATAGTTGTGAGAAAACACACCCACAATATCGATTTTGGCTTCGACGAAACTTGAACATGTATAATGAGCTCCTAACTCTTCATCTACTGATATAAAATCAATACCCTATGTCCACATTAAAACACTCAGGACCCAAAGACTGGTCTGGAATTATGAAAAGCGTGCGACTCGATCGATTAAGACCAAGCCGAGTTTTCATCCTTGTTAGCTGTTTGATAGACACAGGGGAACTTGGCGATATCAAACCTGGATCTTGGGATCTCGGCATGCGCCGGAAATATATTAAATAATCCGAAGCGCCGGGATAGTACTCCAGATTATCCGTCTGAATCTAGGAACGCATGCACAGATGCTATCAGCTGGTCGTTTTCATGGGGCTGAGTGTAAACACTAGGAGTCTAGCATCCGAGCCCCGGAGTCAACCCTGCTAATCTTTCCAAATAATCGACTGAGGAAGATTTCCTCTCCTGGTTTGTGTATACGTGAAGGTGAAATGTTGAGATGAACTTCCTGTCAATTGATCAGGCGTACCTCGTGCTAAAATGCAGAAGGCCAGGTGATACATCTGATAAATTATGAAAAGTACTAAGGTGTGCAGATACGAGACGATTTCCCTAAAAGTTAAAACAACGGTAGTAGTAGTAGTAATGCTGAGGTAATGGCTCCTCTAAACTACACCAGCACAATCAACATAAAACACGACCTAGTAAGATCCAAGGGTACTATCAAATGCTATCGAATTACCCAATTATCATCGTGCTGTTGTTCCCAGGTGTGCTTGGGCTCTTGGCCATGGAAATGGTAATCCGATATCCCAAAACCAGGAATACCTGGCAATTATCCAACGCAGAACCATGGTAACACAGCTAAAAAAATGCAACAATAGCCAGAATTTACAAATTTACAAAGAAAAAGTGCACACTTTTCTTGTTCCCTCCAACATACCCCCCTTTATCAACCGTGCCTACGCTTTGTGTTTTAGTCAAGGCGGGACAAGACATAACTGTTGACAAGAATCTTGAAGTTTCTTGATACACTCAAAATTAGTGGAGGCCCACAACTCAAGCAGATGGTCGGAAACCGGCCCGTTGGGAGGACTAACCGATGCCCTGACGCACAACTGTTAACTGTGGGGCCAATCTTGTTTGACTTGGCCCGTGGTCGCGCGGTACTCTGCGACAGGCTTCAAGGATATTATTTCCTTCTAATACCTTCCACTGCGAACAACTTCCATGCTTTTTTACAAAAACATCACGAGGATCAAAAACCAAGGGGTCGCAGCCGGCAGGAGTAGGACCGCTGTCAATTGTTTGCTAGGTAGTCGATCCCCACGTTTTCTAAATGAAGCGGTATAGCTAATATCTGATATGGAACCAGCATGATTCATGGACGAAATACAGTACACTACAAAGCCTAGCCTGGAAAAGTGGCTTGCGTACTGCTTGTCAGTAAGCCGCCTCTAATCATCCTATGAAGTTGATATGCTGGAAAAGTAAACCCAGCGGGCAGATGGATCTCGCGGCATCTCAAACGTCCAAGACTGTAAGCTCCAAGCAGGATGCTGGCCATTACGACCCCGATGGATTGTGATTGTTACAGTATCCTAGCGCTTATACCTCCACAATGTCGGGCGATATGAATCCGAGGGGCCATTACATGAGAACTTCTTAGAGGAGTCTACGACACCAGAATGAATATATAACGGCCACCTTTCTGCCTTCATTGCAGTCTTTCCTTTCTCTCAACCAGCTCGTGCATTCCTGGGAAAGCCATCTCATAGTCTTCTGTATATATCATCTACATAATACGCAGTGCGTCATTAATCTTTTTTCACATTCTACAAAATGGTTGCCTTCAGCAAAGTCGCAGCTGTTGTCGCCCTTGCAGGCAGTGCCTCCGCCCATACCATCTTCCAACAACTCTGGGTTAACGGTGTCGCTGCTGGTCAAGATAAGGGTATCCGTGTCCCAACGTAAGTCAATCCATTTTTGATATCCACAGATCTATAGATCCAATCGACAAATCCCTTATTAATAATTAAATACAGTTACAACGGCCCCATCGAGAATGTTCTCAGCGATTCGATCATTTGCAACGGTGCCCCAAATCCCATGAAGTCACCAGCACCAGCCGACATCATCAATGTCCCATCTGGTGCTACTTTGACTATGGAATGGCATCACGACCCAACCGGACCAAACCCAAATGATGCGTCCGATCCCGTTGACCCCACCCACAAGGGACCTCTGATGGTCTACCTCGCCAAGGTCGACAGTGCTTTGACCCAGACTGTTACTGGCCTTAAATGGTTTAAGATCTACGAAGATGGTCTCGATGTCGCCACAAACACTTGGGCTGTTGACAAGCTCATTGCTAACAAGGGCTTCATGGACTTCAAGCTCCCAAGCTGCATCCCACCCGGAAACTACCTTCTCCGTGGTGAACTCCTCGCCCTGCACGGTGCTGGTCAATACCCAGGTGCCCAATTCTACATGAGCTGTGCTCAGATCAACATCATCGGTGGAGGGTCTGCCAGCCCACCAACCGTTAACTTCCCAGGTGCTTATGCTGGAAGCGACCCTGGTATCCACGTCAACATGTAAGTTATACACTCATCTCTTACTCAGAGTAACATATGCTAACATGATCTTACCAGCTACTACCCACCACTTACCAGCTACACCATCCCCGGACCCCGCCCATTCACTTGCGGCGGTACCGAGCCCACCACCAGCGCTGGCACCACTCTCCGAACCACCACCACCGCTGCTAGAACTACAACTGCGGTCACAACCACCGCCCGAACCACCACCGCTGCTACTACCACCGCCCGAACAACCACTGCCGGCTCTGGTACTGGAGCTCCTCTCTATGGACAGTGCGGAGGTCAAGGATGGACTGGACCTACAACCTGCGCATCGGGAACTTGCAAGGTGTCCAACGACTGGTACTCCCAGTGCTTGCCGTAAATCACGCGCCTAGATTAAGATATAATACCATTGTACATAGCCAGATTTCACCGAATCTGAAATAATATAATATTGTGAATATAACCATCTTTCATATAACTTCCTAAGGAATCTACTTAAGTAAATTTCTCCTTGTCTCGGCCTGCGAGAGTCTAGAAGCAGTTGCTCATTAGTTGGCCTATAACCTGAATTGTGAGAAGCTGACGTAAGATTAGCTAGTAACTGAAGCTTGACAGGAGACCTTTGCATTGATAAATTTTATTATGGTCAGAGACAATAAGTTAGTTCTCAATCATCGATGAAGAGGTTGTTTAATTCGTGAAGTTGCCTTTTAGTGTTGGCGCCAGAAATGCAACAAGATGTTAAATCTCGAAATACCAGTTGAAGAAATTCTGGTACCGCAACTCAGTAGTACTACTCGGTGCACGGATGGAAAAATGATTTAAGTAAAGGTACATCTAGCTAGACCGATAACCCAAGTTGAAGCCCCATAGTAATACATCATCATACTCATCACAAAAAAACGCCTGCCAGATAGCTAGTAAATGCAAACAAGGAAGTACGGCCGTCATATATCATTACAGAATAGAGGATATCTCGCGATTGTAAAATCACGAGAAATTCTCATCGCGATCTTCCGCTTCCCTCGCTTCTCTTTCCCTAACAAAATCCTCGGCGGCTTGTTTACCCCTGTGGACATCGACGAAGTAGAGGAACGGGAGCGGGACAAGAAGTAGGCCCAATATGAACCAAAATGCGAGTCTGATGTCGCCCCATCTGTCTGTAATTAATCCGACGATGGTAGGACCAAAGATACTGCTTCCCTATTTTTCGAGCGATTGTCAGATCATCAGTTCCAAGTAATTTGGGGAAATACTACCGGGGCTTACTTTATCAGTAATGGCGTAGAGGGCAAAGAATGCGGCCTCTGAGCCTCGGGGTAGAAGCTCCGAGAACAGGCTTCGACAGTAGCCTCCCTGGCCACCTAAGACAAATCCGAACCAGATGGCAAGAGCGTACATTTCCCCAGGCCTAAGAGAGAACCATGTTAGTGAAACCCTTTCAAAAAACTGTACATACAAGAATGCTCACCTTGTTAACCCAAAGCCGGCATCTTGCACCGGCTTAAGTAGGCCCATCAGCCCATATAACGGGATCAATGCAAACATTGAAATACAAATGGAGATAGTTTGGCCAACGCTCCATCCAGCCCAATGACTAATCTTCGGCCAACTAAAAGCTCCAATCACACCACTGATTGGCATGATAACCCCGATGGCGGCAAGCTGCGGAGGCGACATCCCGAGATTTGTCTTTGCAAAGACGATAGCCGACGATGCAATAGTCGCCACTCCATCAGAAACCATGAACCAAGCAACTAGAAACAACGAAACATCACGAAGTTTGCTCGCTTGACGGATCGTTTGGAAAAGTCCCAACCACGAATAGGTGATATATTTTACACAGTTGAATTTTTCTCCATCATGGAGAGGCAGTGGGGGCCCAGGGCGAGGTCTTAACGTCATCGCCGAAGGAATTGTAAAGAAGAACCACCAAAGGCCTACACAAAATACCGAAACCTGAAGCGAATTTGTAGTGGACCCACTGGAGACTACTATCATGATGCAAAGAATTTGAAGTATAACACCGCCGCAGTAACCAATCGCGATACCATTAGACGATATTCCCGTTGAAAGACGCATGGCTGGTGTCATTTTGCCATTGGATTCAGGCTTGGCCGAAGTCGTGCGCCCACCAAGGAGGGTAGCGTCTTCGGCACCAATGTCTTCATCCTCCAGAGATATTTGGCTGGCGTTTGGTAGACGAGTTTGTGGTCCGGAGGTATTCTTTAACGAAGGATGATTCCGGACAATAAGTGGAAGGAATGAATTCATGAGAACATAAGATGCTCCAAATGTCACCTATACGCTCTGTTAGATATCACGCCATGTAGCGTTTCGAAGTATAACGTACGTTTCCGATCTGTGCGAGAAGAGATGCTGTTCCCACCCATTGAGCGTTCACGAACAGCATCAATATGCAAGCTACTGCGCCAATGTAGGCAAAAATCAAAAGCAACTGTTTTCGATAACGCCCTAGATAGTTATAGACGTTAGCTGCCCGTAGAGACAATACGCACGGACAGACGGTACTAACCATGATCTGCAGCACCGGACATCGAGATAATGACCAACGCTAACTCCCGTTGTCAGCTAATCCCTTGAAATTTAAATTCAAAGGCCCCCAACCTTGAAACATAACACTTAGCGAGAACGTGTACATCACGAAACTAGCTGTGTTAATCTCAAATCCCATGATGTCTACTACGCAAACTGGAGCCTTCACACCGCCGTTCCCACCGCTAGCGCCGCCAGGCCCCATGTTCTCCGAGCTTTTACATCGCGACTCAGGACTCCCCAGAATATGGCCCTTCTCGCGCGCAAGCTGCTCGAGCAGCACGGGTATGAAACTCCCCATCGCGCAAATGGCAAACACTTCAGACGCCCAAGCATAGCTATACCAGCCGTATATTTCCTTTTGAGAGGTTGGTCGTATGTCCTCATCCGGATACGCCGGGGTAGTTCGTACTCCCTCTTCTTCGGAATCCCAGTCGCGTTCGTCGCCGGGAAATACCGTTATACCGTTATCATCGTCCATATTGTCACCGAGTAGAGCTGTACCGTTCCCTCTGCTGGAGTGTCGAGAATGCGATGTCCGTTGGACACCTTCAAAGTTGTTCATACTCGATAGCGGATAGGATTCCTCCGCCATACAAGACGAGGACAAACTGTCTTACTAATAAGTATGGACTTTGCGAATTCAGGCGCGGTGCTGTGACGCGGCGGTCAAGGAACAGGTGGCTACAGGGAGCCACCCGATTGGTGTGACAGGCAAAGCTGGGTCTGGAACGGCTTACAATATGGTACTAAGAATGTGACCAGCCAGCCAAGATCGTCGAGAACGTGAAGCGTGACCTGCAGGCTTCGAGTTCGAATGTGTCAACGATACGCAGGACGCAGCTATTATCTCCCCCGTGAGTGATATCAAATCACTGGCTGCTCGCACCCCTGAATATCGTGTACTCCGTAAGCGAAGCGGGTCGCCCAGATGATCAACGTGCAACAGAAGGTCACGTATGCTCGGAAATGTCGATAGAACAAGAAGTCGAGAAATGGGAGTCAAGATTATACAGACGACAACATGTCATGAGCTGCCCTTTTATCCATACTGCAAGAACGGATATTAATATTCTGCAGGACCATGGCTAGAACTTGCAGAATCGGAAACAAGGATGCGTCTTATGCTGGATGATACAACTTCCAGATGCAGCTCAGAAGAGGCCAGCTGTTGGATTTTATGCCAACACAAGATTAACTGCCGATCGAAGCTAGCGATAGTCTACACAGTATTCTGTATACATGTATGTGACCAGCTTTAAGATGTAATTAATCTGTATATCATCCTTATATTGTCTAATTATGTGCCCCAAATGCGAGGGGAGTGGTTAAGGGCTCAAAGGCTGTCTTACGGAACACGTTTCTATCCTAGCTAAAGGCCCGAGATGTACATGTACATGGCGATAGACAATCAAGGCTGATTTGCGCGATCGCGATCGATCTGAACCGCGCTAGAATCAAAATCGAATTATAGCCAATATTATAATATCATAATCTAAGCGTCTCTACATATTTATATATGTATATGTACGAGAATGGCCTAGTTACGAGACTATCTTGTGAATCAAATATGGTTGCGGAGGTATGTGAATCTGTACTTCGGTGTATACATGTAACTCTTATAATTTAACATGATCCAGACGTCATATACCTAAATACGTACTGAATTTATGTATAGCACCTAGATCTAATACCCAAACTGCGGCGGTTAGGCTAGAACTACCGTCCAGTACGAGGATAGGAATTTTACGCTGGTCCATATATTCCCGTATCACAGGAGGGAGTCTCTGATGGTGCGAATAATGTCACGTTAATACTCTAGCCTCGAGATTAGACGCAGAAAAAAAACAGGATCGATACTCCACACATTGATATTACAATACACATATAAATTAAATTCAGAATATATATGTATTCAATTAAACGATAATTACTATCAATAATTGTTTATTATTAATAGTACAATATATTAATATTAATAACCATCCTTATATAGCAAAGCCTCAGACAAATACTTAAGCAAGTTATAATTAATACCTTAAATTATAATATATTAATAATTGTCTTAGTCAATAATACTAAAGCTCCGAGTAAGGCCTATTGTTATTGTCAATATCCCATCTAGGTTCATACTGCGTACCTATTGCTCCTCTACAATACTAAAATCCGAGGGAAAGAATTCTAGGAATCACTGTTTCTTATAGGCCCCTTCGTAGAAGTGTGGATATGCGCTAGATATACACATATAATTTATGTGGACAAACCGCCCAGGCTCTGAGTACCTCGGGGGGCTAGCTTGCAGCCGGACTTAACCCAACCCTCAACAAATCTAGCTGCCGATCGATCAGTCGGTAGTATACTATACTGTAGCTAATAGGAGGTTTCGTGGCTCGGTTAGTAGCTGCGTTGGTGTCTATAGGCATAGGCGGGAGTGACATGGGCTCATGAGAATTTCAGCAGGAGCCTCTCGCGCGACCCTACTTATGACAATAATACGCCCTACGGAAGAACTTCCGTAGGAGGGTTAATTATCTAAACAACCTACTCGGAATGAAATTGCAAGAATACACAGATGATTTGAGCACTAAGCTTTAGGCAACATATTATTCTCCCTCACTACTAGGATACTTGCCCGTATGATCATATTTGATCATATGCTGGCAATAGCGAATGGAGACGAAACAACAATGGGGTTGAGAAAATGGAAACGAGTGGGAAGAAAGAGATTATAAAAGAATATTTATAGAATTAGAATGTTATTAATTGCAATATAACTG